ATTGTTTTACTTACTTGTTTTTGACATATCCGACCGAACTACAAACTTTCCAGTGATGTCTGTGAGAAAGGTATATTCACTCGACAAGCTCGATACCAAAATACCAGTATCGGTATCGGTGCATCCCTAGAATAAATACATAATTATAAAATAATAATGCTATAAATATTATTTTATTATAAAAAAAAAAAAAAGATTACTAAAAACAATATTTATTACTATTCTAATAATACTATTTCCGTGTAAAATAAAAAAGTGAGTATTTAAGAAAAATAACAATAATTATTTTATTTTACAGTGCAGCTGTAAAATTACAGTAATAAAATGTATTATTAAAAGTGGCATTAATTTGTTTACTTTAATATTGCACTATAAGCCATGTTGCGATTATATTTTGTTATTGTTCAGCCCTAACTTGGTCTGCCTTTGCGAACAACTGTTTGAGCTCTGCTAGTATGTGAACTTTAGCTACAGACGTCTTAAAGCTAGAGTAGCAGAAATGCTCAGTTTAATCTATGTGATTGAGAGGAAAATGGTCAAGGAGAACTAGATAATGCATGAAATCTTAACTGAATTCATAAGTGGATTTCAGAGAAAAAAATTAAAATTGTCTGTATGCATTGAGATTGTAAAATATGGCCCCTTTAAAATAAGGCATATTGAATAACAATTTGACCCTGGTTTCTTTTTTCAGCCAAACCCTTCGAATAAACTGGCCATTATTCACATCCTTGGTCTGCTGTCCAATCTCTTCACCACGCTGGACATCACCAAACAGGAGGAGGAGTCAGGAGAGAATGCCCCGCCCATCAAATCAGCCCCGCCCCAGACAGGCCCCAACCCTGTAAGCACATTCCAGCTCTCCGCGGTCACTCTGAAGCAGACGTTCGCATGTGTCAGAGGTGGACTAGAGTGTGTTTGTGTGTTTTAGGTGGTGGTGGTGCTCCAGCAGGTCTTTGCACTGATACAGACGGTCCTCAGTAAATGGCTGAATGACTCGCAGGTTGTGGAGGTAAGATTCATCACAAACTCCTTATTCTGCTTCATCTCCAGATTGTGTCATAGTTTCCGATGTATCTTTTCCATACGGATGCAGGACAGATTTAATTCTGCTCTCTCTTAGGCGGTGTGTGCCATCTTTGAGAAGTCTGTGAAAACTCTCCTGCATGATTTTGCCCCCATGGTGTCTCAGCTGAGTGAGATGCTGGGGCAGATGTACAGTACCATACCGCAGGCATCTGCACTGGATTTAACACGCCAGGTATACGACACACACAGAACAGAAGTATCTTTATATAAAGACAGTAATGTCCTGCGGGTCCTTAAAGAAGTTTGATCAAGTTTGAGGCCATAAGCAGTCTGAAAAACAAAAGTCTTAATTATCATTTCAAGTCAAGTCACATTTATATATGCAACACAGATTTTCAAAGCAGTTTCACGTTAATAAAACAGGAAAATAACAGTGTAAATGTAAATGCATCAGTTATGAAACAAAGTCAGTTTGAGCTATAAAGCAGCTCTACAGAATATAATAGTGTGATTATTCAGCTCAATTTAGTTCATTGGTTCAATTCAGTTCAGTAACTATGTCAGTGTTGTAAAGTTCATTAATTATTGTTGAATCATTCAGTTTCGGGACGGAAGAACAGGAATCATGATATAGCCTAATTGGATTATTAAACTTCAAAAGGCTGTGATTGAATTGCGTAAATGTAATCTCTACACGTTCAAAATGTAATTCTGCAGGCTCGCAGTTATAGAGCAGTTCAATCTATGAATGGCACACATTTATGCCAATAGGTTGCTTATGATCAACTGTTGATGGAATATGACGATGTTTACTTTATGGTGGTTATTTTGTAATATGTTGTATTCATCTTTTTGAATTTCAAAATAAGAGTTTAAATTTAAGGTCACAAAGTTTTAAATGATCGTTTTAAGGTTTAAATACATCGTTTTAGATCTTATATTTTGGGACAGAAAAACAGGATTACGATACAATTAAAAGTCTCACATTATGCATAAAATAATTTTTCTGGATATTGTTGGTATTTTGGTTACACAATGAACTGTATCTGGCACTTAATTCAACGTGAACTCTTGTAGCTTCTCTCTGAACTGCCCCGTCTAAGACTAAGAACATTATTTAACATGATACTAGTAAAAAAGAGATTTTACTAGTATCTGCGCAGTAATCTTTTTATTGCCCTTCTCTAAACACAGTATTATCGTATCAGTAACCTCTAACTCATATCTATGGATATATAAGTATGTAAATACATTTCATTACATATGTAAATATTTAATAAAACATCTTGCGCATTTAAACTTGTTTTATAGTTGAATGTGTGCCTGATTAATTAATAATCTGAATGACAAGATTTATTATGAGATTGTATTGGGTTGTTCTATATGGACATATGGTATTAATTTCATTTGTGCAAGCCTTAAAATTCTCAAATTTGATTTTGAAAACTGAGAAAGCTTGAATGTGTTGTGCTGCTTCCGATGAGTTTTGTTTGATTGATTTTGTTCTCTTGCAGATGGTCCACATATTTGCCAGCGAAACGAATCATTTCCCCCCAATCAAAGCGCTGTTTGAATTGGTCACTTCTGTTACTCTGACCATCTTCCAGCAAGGTAGGCATGCTGGGAACATCCAGCTCCAGAGGATGAAGGAAATCACGTGGTTTTGATGTCTTTACTCTCACTGTTTCCAGTTGTTTGCATGTATCTGTTTTTTAAAACCCGCACACACAAGCAGAGTTCAGAAATGGGCATGGTCTTATGAAACTGTTCTTGTTTTCTGAAATGGTGTGGTGACTTGATCCTTCAAATTTTCACTCCATGAGTTTCACACACGCTTCGATCCAAAAGCGTTTTCACACAGCTTGTATTAATATGATTATGAATGCAGCCCTATTAATGCTGTGTATGCATTCATAAATTGGGGATTTTGCTTTGCACACCTGTTAAACTTGTCTTAGGGCTTCACTCTTTTCATTCCACCACTTCCACCCACTTTTCTTGTTGACCTGAATGAAAAACATGCCTTCCTTTGCTTGATTACTGTCAGCTTGCAGATTCTTCGAGTCAAGTGAGCTTTATTGCCATTCTGCTATATGTAGAGACATACAAAGAAATGAAATGTAATGCAATTACTGATGTAAATCTAATGAAAGCACTGAAAAAGATGTGATGTATGATTTACTTTGATACAATTTGCACTCAGAAATTGTTAGTAAATTCCACAAATAATTACAAAGTAACAAGTTACACATTGAATTAAACGTGAAATAGAAATACTGGAATAGTATTTTATTTTAAAACATACTTCGATAATTTTCAATGATAAAAAAAAAACATTTTTATATTGTATTCATTCAGTGTGTTCCTAAACAAGATATCCTTCATCTCGTCTTATTCAGACTTAAAACACCAACTTGTTTGGCAAATAACCAAATTTTCCATTTTTGGCGGTATCGATTTTCTGGTTTGGACCAACCAGTGACAAGAAGTGTGAAAACAGCCTAAAATTGTCCAGCATGACTCCCTACCGCACACACACTCTCTCACATAGTTGTTCTTTGCATGTGTCCTCTAGTGCGCTTGCATCCCTCACTTCCTGTTTGTCATTGTTCACGTTCTTCTGTTTTAACCACGTCATTTCCAATTCAGCAGAAATGTGAGTGATAACACTCTTATCCCGATGCGGTGACATGGCCGAGAGGACCTGCCGTGGCCTGTGTGTTTGTTTGTCATTTGTTTTCTGTGAAGGGGCAGGGTTTGACGGGTGGGCGGGGTCTGGGTTTGAGGGGGCGGGGTCTTGTTTGGAGTGTGGGAACAGCAAAGGGAGGGAAGTTTGGGACTGACTGCTACCTTGCTCTTCCGGGGTGGCGGTGGGAACCAAGTGCTCACCAGCTGCGGCGGGCCAGTCGGGTGTATGAATTGAATTTACAGACAATGAAAACAAATAAAACGCACACTAAAAAGAAAGTAAGCAACACAAGTGTCATCACAGTAACAGGTGCCTCCTGGGTTCCCACTCCAAACCCACTGTTTCTTTTGTTTTTTAGGTTTCTTTTCTTTCTCTCGTTACTTCTATTTCTTTTCCTTCTTTGTTTCTCCCCTTCAGAACGGACTCATTGATCTGTCTTTTTTTGTTTTTTCTTTTTGTTTTTCGCTACTGCCTTCAAGTCGTTCATGTTCCCTCCTCTTTCTCTGCCCTACTTCTCTCACGCGTGCGATTATTTCCGTCCAGTTGACTTTTCCTTTCCACATGACTGTTCGATCTGTTTTTTTACTGTTTGTATATATTCTTATTATTCTTATTATTTCTTAAGTTTCATCTTTATTATATTTTAGGGCCCAGGGATCATCCTGATATTGTTGATTCATTTATGCAACTCCAAGCTCAGGTGTGTTTTTGGTTTCTTATTTCATTCACTTTGGGTTTCTCTCTTCTCTTTCGCTGTCCCTTTTTTTCTCCCTTCTGTTCTGTGTCACGGGGTCTTTACAGACCCTTGTTTTACTCGGGCAGTGGAATTGACCTGAGGGGTTTTGCTATTGGATGATTGACAGCTCTTTTGTCCAATAGTCACTCCTGTAATACGTGTACATCTCATTCAATCCAAAGATCCTGCTCCTTGTGGCGGTTTATTACACATCAAAACTTGGCTGTGATCGTGTTGTATTTCACAGCATTTCTTTTACAGTGGAGTTGGACTAAATTGTATGTGATAATTAAATAATGAGATATATATATATATATATATATATATATATATAA